GTTTGTGTACGATAGCGCAATAAATATATATTGTATTCCACCACATAAATGATAGTACTTTTAAACTGATAATTAAAGCAATTGGTGCAAAATTATTCCCTAACCATTTCAAAATATCAAAAATGTACAACAATAATATTCAAGTTTTCACTTCTGCCGGCACTCCCGGAGTGCAACCCGTCGTTTTTTTATATTACAATGGTAAAAGCATCGTCCTATGTACCTTTTGGACAGGTTTCGGCCACGATTTTGTTTGTGATGCTGTATCTAGGATATTTTAAATAGGTATCGTTGAAGAGCAAACTTCAACTATTGGGGATTGAGTTGCCTTCGTCCGTGGGAGTCTACTCTTACTCCGTTTCCCCACACGTGATCCCTGGGTGGTGCAAACCAGGCAACAACATACTGGTGGTAGGCTTAAGCCGGGGCTAGTGACCACCCACTGTGACTGAGTAGTGCCGCAAGGCGGCCCAGCCACGTTCCGGCTCGTAGTCCAGTGACACCGTTTGGGAGGATGGGTCGAGATAATTGCTTTTTGTTCCCGTCGGATGTGGCGATACAAGTCAGCAGATTGGGATGGGATGCGGTCATTCTTTGCATCCTATCCTTGGCAGTCAGTCTGTTTTTCTTCTGGCGACCCTTCGACTTGCGCACATGCTGTGACAGATGTGCTGCGTCTGGGTATGGAGTACTTTATTCCATACTCCGATGTATCTCTGTTCGGCAAAGCTCGCCCCTGGTTTGGACCTCAATGTGCTCGCGCTGAAATGCTGAAGCATGAGGCATACCTAGCCTGGGCACAAGCTCGCTTCGTATCCCGCGGGAAGTAAAGCGTTCTGGTCCCTTGCAAAGTCGATCGAAGGGAACTTTTGTCGCCCCTCACTGCCTCCACTGCTGAAGCCTGACGGATCGCTAGCCCATACCGCTGACGAGAAAGCGAATTTATTTGCTTCTCTTTTCGCGGAGTATTCGCGCCTCGATGCTGGTAGCGCGTCGCCTCTTTCACCTCCTGGCTGTTTGAGTCAAATGTCAGAGTTCAAAATTCGCCAATCTGAGGTACGAAAAACGCTGCGCAATCTGGACGTGCATAAAGCTAGTGGTCCTGATGGTATTCCAGCCATTGTCCTGAGGTCTTGTGCGCCTGAGTTGACTCCTGTCTTGACGCGCCTCTTTCAGCTCTCCCTTGCAACTGGTAAAGTGCCGAGTTCTTGGAAGCTTCCAAGAACTGGGCTTTGTGCATGGATTTCGGACTTTCTGAGGGATAGGTCTATTCGAGTTGTAGTGGATGGTTGCTCCTCGGATCTTTGGGCTATCAATGCCGGTGTCCCCCAGGGGTCGGTACTCTCTGCAACGCTGTTTCTGCTGCACATTAATGATCTGCTAAGACCCGGTATCTTTGGGTATGCAGACGACAGCACAGTTGTAGAGAGCTATATATCCACCGCGCGAGCCAGTGCGACAGAAATCCAGTCCCATAGGGAGGCCATGGTCGAGCGCTTGAACCTTTCTCTTTTGGCGGTCTCCGATTGGGGCGATGCCAATTTAGTTGGGTTCAATGCTGCGAAAACCCAGGCGTGTCTATTCACCGCAAAAAAGAGGCCATTTGATCTGGCCCCTACTTTCCGGGATGTAACCGTACCGATCAGCGACCATCTCGAGCTACTCGGTATTACATTGTCACCAACCCTCAACTTTGGCTCATACATTGAGTCCAAGGCCCAATTAGCAGCCAAGAAGTTGGGTATCCTCTCGAAGGTGCGACGATACTTCAAGCCGGAACAGTTGCTTACATTATATCAAGCACAAGTTCGGTCTTGCATAGAGTATCGTTCGCACCTCTGGGATGGATCAGCTAAGTACCAACTTGAGGCGTTGGAGGCAATTGAGAAACGAGCGATAAAGCTCATTGGAAATGACGCGCTTTGCCGGGCAAAGTTACAAAGCCTGGAACACCGACGCAAAGTTGCCAGTCTTTCGGTGTTCTATCGGTTGCATTTCGGTGAGTGCGCAGAGGAATTACATGAGCTAATTCCTCCCGCCCCTTTCTACTACCGGACGAGCAGGGAAACGGCAAGGCGACATCGATTCACGGTGGCAGTTCCAAAGACTCGCACTAAGCGATTCGCGTCTAGCTTCATCGTGCGGACTGCCAAACTGTGGAATTCCTTGCCTGAGCCCTTGTTCCCCGAGCACTACAATCTAGCGGTCTTCAAAGCAAGAGTGAACCGGTTTTTATTAGGTAAGCGCGCTCCATCGTAGACCATAATATTGCTTTCCATCAGGCGAATTATGGTCAAGCGCTTACCTATTAACGAATAAAAAAAAATATATACTTTGATTTTTTCTATTACTTATTAGTACGATAGCAGAACCTTTTGCAAAAGTCAGCTATGATAACCACTAACCAACCAACAGTCTGTTTTTACTTTTATTAAAATAAACGCATTCTGTTGTATAAGTTCAGCCAGAATTTGGGTGATTGAGTAACAAAGATTCCCCTCTGCGGCAGAAGGACACATGCAATATCCCGGAATAGCAAAATCCCAGATTAGCAGAAGAACAGGAGCTCTATTTTGAATCACTCGTCTGACATAGTATCGTCGAATGCGACATAAGTCACCTTCGACTTTCAAGTCGCATAATACTGATTTTCCGTATTTTTGAATCACTCGTCACCAGTGTTACCTGTTTGATACGAAATACGAAATTTTACTCATTTCACGCAGAAATAATAAAAACCGGTAATTACTACTACTCTTTGTCGTTTCATATAAAGCATAACAATGATAGATTTATCGTCGTCTAATAGCACAAAAAAATTGACAATTATTTTATCATTCGCCTCCACCATTCGCCATGCAGCGAGTGGTCTGACCCATTCGTTGCACTCGAGCGATTCAAAAATACGGAATTATTATTTCGAATGTTTAGTACAATTCAAGCGTTCGACACAAGACGAGTGATTCAAAATAGAGCTCCTGATTTGCGTAACTTAAATTTTATAACTTCACATTAATAGAATAGACAGGCGGGATATGCGATGCAATCTTGCATCAACATTACTTGAGAATGGACGTGGAGGAGGCAATTTACTTATGGATTTTACATCGAAGGCTGAGACGTCGCAGAAGAAGACGTACTTAGATACTTAGTGTATCCTATTTTAACTGCTGTTACTTTAATCTTGTACCACGCGGAACTACCAACTGTACGGTCATACGAACCTAGCCCTATTAACTTATTGGTAAACGTCAGCCTATGCATACAACAGCGTGTTTTTAGTTTTATTAAAATAAACGCCATCTGTTGTTTTGTAGCCATACCGAAAAAGGCATTAGAGATGGAACGATTACTATCGATATTATTGAGATACCTCAAAAATATAAAATAAATACTGTACATACATATTTGGATCTATGGCAGGACTGATGCAAATCCCCACGCAAAATAGGCACTGGGTGTCGAGTTGCGAAAACAGCCCGCCGCGTACTACTAACACTAAGACTAATGGCTACATCTTAATATTTTTAACACATGCTGTGGAAAAAGAAAATAATTAGGTCTAAAGAGAAGTTTACTAGAAAAAATTCAACGTGGACCAGGCAGCAGACGGGACTCGAACCTGCACCCTTCGCTATCCGGGCGAATGCACTGACCGTTATGCTACCGCGGCCCTGACGGCTGTGTCGAATTTTTCCTAGCCTTAGGCTGCTAGGCAGCGCCATCTCTTCGCATTGTAAGTAACCCACAATGTCAAATGAATACTTTTACAAGTATTAAACATTTGAAAGAAGAATTAGCAATTAAAGTTGTTTTTATTTTATAAAACATAAATAATCTGGTACCTAAATTCATCAGATTTGAGACAGTATAATAATTGTTTTCTACATAAGTATTACTCGTCGAGAAATCAAACGCGGGACCTCAATTAGATCTCGCGAGTGTGTCGAAATAGGCCTGCATTGTGGTCTTATTGATGTCGTAAGATCTTTAATTAATAAATTCTATATTAAATAAGATACAATAAATGAATAACCTAGTTACGTGTAAGATGTTTTTGTTTATTTTAATGTAAACATCTCTGAAATGCGAGTGCATCTTCTGAAACACGTATAAGTACAATGCTTGTAATTGTTTTTACTGCTCGAGGATAGATGGTACTACTGATTTACTGATACTTGGGATGAAACTTTGTATTAGGAGCAATGTTTCATAAAGCTGCTCTATTCAAATACAAATCCAGCGCCAACCAGTTATTACTTTCTATCATATTTTAATTATTTATATTTAAAAAATCACTATGTATCGAAGACATGAAACTTATAAAATGAACCCCTTTGCTCTGTAATAAATGATTTTTTAACTTTCCCCCTTTTTAGGGGAGGCAAAGGGAACAATGTCCATACAGCCTAGTCTTCACTTTTCGTTCTTTTCTATTTACATTGGAATATGGATGTGACGCATTCTAATGTTTCTTGGAGTGTTTTGGCAGGAAATGTATCGAGTCAGCTTTCTCGATAAGCTTCTGTGGGGTAGTCAATACTACAATAAAGTTCTCACGTCCACTTGGCCCGAATAGCAAATATTTCAAAGGTTTCACTAATTCTTCAGTTGTGCAGACGGTTGTAACACAAATCACGCCAATTTTATTTGGAAATATCAACGAATTAAAGAATAATTAAAATAAGATGCCAACCGCACCGCACCCGATGAAATCCCGCCAAAAACTCTTGCTAAAAGTATGAAATTATGAATTGAACAAATGGTACTTTCACAAAAAAAAAGTGCAAAATTGCGTTTTGTTATTGACTTTGACTTGAAGTAAATTTTATATTTGTGATCGACTCTCACATTGTGAGGTTTATGTGAAAATGAATTTCAGTAAAAAAGGTACATAACTAAGTACGTATGTTTCATAATTATTAACCAGTTACTTAGTAATCTTTTTCAACCATCTTCGTACAGCTGAAATAAAACGCAGCGCAGCAGTTCTTTTTTGACAGGTGCCACCAACCAACTTGAAAAAGCCAAAAGGCTACTCGAATCGAAATTGAATTTACTAGATGTAGATCTTTGGGGCCACTCCACCTGTATTAGAAAAACGCAGCGTCAAAAACAAAGTGAAGTATTAATTAAATCGACAGAAGCACGGTGTACACGAGCTATGCTTTGAATAACGCTTTAGTTGTAACGAGTTAACATTGGTCGTGGTTGAAATCTGTCATGAGACCCAGACTTATGTAACCTTTTTGTACGTGAATTATCTGTTAACCTCACTGATATCGTCTGTTTACCTACACCAGGAGGTAAGGGTGTTGTTTTGTTTCACTAACATCTGTATTGGATTCATGTATGTAGTCAAAAACTGTACTAACCTTGAGATCTATATGTAGGCGTGCACCGGTTGCAGTTTACTAAACAACTAATTAATTCTTTACTAACCCTCAATAAATTGGTGCATTACGTGACTACTTTGTTAAAATTTCAATTTTAGTTTCTGTCTTATAAAATCATAATCTGTCAACCTCTTTTGATATGCCAGATGTGACACATTTTCTGTTCTGCTTCTTAATTCAAAATTACTACGAATCTGTTACGTCCAATATAAAAAGTAATCAGACACTGATATGTTTAGTATTGTAAATTAATATCTCTACAAATTTGCAAAAAAGAACTTTTTTTGCAGCCTAAACTGCATATGAAAACACAAGTATATTAGCACATACATACATGCCAGTTATCCCTTGCAGTGTTTACACAGTATAATAGAAACTTAATTAAAATTTATTTTCATTTCATATTTAATTATATAACTGACTCTTACTACATTTCAAAATTTGTGTTGATAATGACTATTGAATACAATAGCTTTGAGTGACAATTACTATTTTTTAGACAATAACTCTATAAATTAGACACTAGGTACATTGCTCCTTCTTTTATGATATTTTTATTCATAATTTGTTTCTATATGTCCGTTGTGCAATTTTTATTACTGGTCCACTTCAGCAAATATGCTAAATCTAGATTTGACATGTTGCTATTCTTGTATTGGCTAAATATAGTTCTAGTTTAATCGGGATTTATCAAATTTGATGTGTAATTCGTAGTCGAGTAGATTAGAATAGTCTATTAACATAGTTTATTTTGTAGGTTTTATTTTATTTGTTTATATTGTTTTTTATTTGGCTTTTGCTATAAATGCATCCTTTTGAATCCTTCCTTTTAAGAATGATCACTAAAAATTTATATTCTTCCTGACCTACTTGACAAGTAGGGGCCATCCATAAATCACACATATGTCACACGTTAAGGGGGAGGGAGGGAGTCGTCGAAGTGTGACAAGGGGGTGGCAGGGATCCTAAATTTCGTGATGTCACATTTTAAAATCTATTATAATCTAAGTGTTGAAACTATTACTTTACATACAAACATTAACAATCCAAATGAGTGCCAGTTATAAATAATTTAAAGAAGTGGGTTCAATGTCCATGGACTCAAGATTATGAAGTTTGTATCTTTAATTTAATTATAGTGCTATTAATATTTTTTTGTTTTGTTAATTGTTTAATTTGATGTTAATATTATTAAAAAAACAATTTAAATGGAAATAAAACTGATTTCAGAACTGCTGTTTTCATTCAATAATTTCTAAATGTAAAGTTGCAAAATATGTGACGTCACACTAGGGAGGGGGGGAGTCTCACAAATGTGACCAGCTGTAACAAGGACGGGGAGGAGCAAAAATTCATGAAATACTTGTGACGAAATTTATGAATGACCCCTTATAGTCTTATCTGGACAATAGCAAAGCAATTTGGCTGTGGTCAATAGTAATATTTATGACCTTGCCATTAAATTTATAATGATTTTAAAGTTGCCGAATATGCTCCCCACTTATTATTGTTCTAAAAGAATATTCAGTTACCATTTTTTCTGGGCTGTGATTAATTACTATGGTTGCAATTGAAGCTTCTAGCAAACTCATTTTTTTTCATGCAACTTCAGCCACAGAACATATTATCTTTTTTAAAGAACTGCATTTGTGTTATTGGTTATTTATTTTTCTTTATCTTTATATAATTTTTTTGTTTTTTTTTCAAATTGACGACCTCCGTGGCCGAGTGGTTTGTACGCCGGGTTTCATGGCTGTCGCTGACTCGAGAGGTCCCGGGTTCGAATCCCGGTGGGGGCAGATGTTTGTGTGATGAATACGAGCATTTGTACTCCAGTCATGGATGTTTAATATGTATTTATATAAATATACTTATATATGTACAATATATGTATTCTATCCGTTACCCTAGCATCCCATAACACAAGCCTTATAGTGCTTACTTTGGGGCTAGGCTAATTGGTGTGAGTGTCGGAAATATTTATTTATTTATTTATTTTTATTTTTTTATAATGATAATAATCTTATTAAACAATAAAGCCAAAACAAAACATATCCTAAAATAGATAGGATTTTTTTAAAGGACAATTCAAACGAGCTTATAAGAAGTCAACTTTCATTTTATTTGATACATTTCATAATATGTAACAAATTCAAACACACATTAGGTTTCTCTGTTTAATGTTTATAATAACATAGTGATAAAGTACATGAAGACTTGAACTTTGTACAAACTATCTGTATCCGAATAGATCACAGCCACTTTTGTCCTTGTTTTTGAACATAATTATATCATTACAAATTTGATTGAATTTGTTTACATGACGACCTCCATGGCAGAGTGGTTTGTATGCCGGATTTCATGGTGTTGCCGACTCGAGAGGTCACGGGTCTGAATCCCGGTGTGGGCAGATGTTTGTGTGATGAATACAAGCATTTGTACCCCAGTCATGGATATTTAATATGTATTTCTATATAAATATACTTATATATGTACAGTATATGTATTATTACCCTAGCATCCCATAACACAAGCCTTACAGTGCTTACTTTGGGGCTAGGCTAATTGGTGTGAGTGTTGAAAATATTTATATATATTTATTTATTAGCACTAATTTACAATAATATGATTTTGTTGATTTGCTATGTTTTATTATTTTGTATAATAGTTATATTTTAGTATAATTATTTATGCTAACATCTCCAGTATCAATTTATATATTATTATCTTAAAATTTGTATGAAAGCATTTTATATATTTTTATTTGTTACACAATATCATATTTCACATTGTTTTAGTGTCACATTAAACAGTGTCCCTTATAAATGGTAAAAATAAAATGAACATAAAGAGTTAATATTTAACAATAGCCCCCGGAAACGAGATAATACATAAATGTTACTGTTGTTATCTTTATTGTACTAAACATAAATACGATAAAATCTCTGAAGCTCTGAAGTTCGTTGTTATGGCATATTGCGTAAATTTAGGATGACTATTGCAACGAAACTGCCATAAGCTGGTTGACAATTTAAATACAGCCCAACATTTGAGCCTAGGGTAATTAGGTATTAGGTATAATTGAAAAAAAAAGAACTTCTTAGAGGTAATTGTTCACTGACCAGACTACTGCTGTCCCAAATGAGTCCAATCAGATTTCAGAGCCAATTACAATCCTAGAATCACAATTGCTTTAGGTTTTTAAATATGAGGAGTGAAATGTTAAAATTATACAGATATAAGAAACAGTTAAGTTTTTTGAGAATTGTGTATAAGCAAAGTCAAGACTCAGTTTATAAAGGTCGAGGCCTTTACTGTGTAAGGTGTACAAGATTACAGTCAAATAACCACTACCTATTAGTGGTATTATGTTTCTGTTCATTAATGAGGTTTCAGGTACTACTGTAGTTTCTCTGTAGTATCATTGCAATTTTCTGTCGCGTCATCTATTTTCACCGACAACAGCTAACTAGAGCCCAGGTTCGAGTCTCAGGGGCAGACTCCTCTAATTGAGCCGACACCCTCAGGTTTGAGTGGTCTACAGGCTTCAGACGGAAAGGAGACTCCCCCCGAGGGGAGATGCCATCTGCCTGGAATACCTAGGTCCCTTTAAGATTTCGCAGTCCCCAAATCCAGTGCTGCTGTAAAGGTCATCTGAGACTAACAGCATACGCAACAAAAAATTTGTCTGGTAGAGAGTCACAGATGGAGAAAAAAGTGGAGTCAAGTCAAGGGAATCCCTCACTTAAACTCAACACCAAGTGAGACGTAATAAGTTCCTGCTTGTAAAATGGAATAACCACATTTTTAACAAAATTTTTAGGTTTGAATCCCATTTAGTTTACAAATTTCTTTGAGTTGCATTCTCTTAACATATCAATCCTTCTTTGTTTTCAGGTTAACGACACATCTCGACTTAACAGTAAAAGATGCTGCGGCGCTGTTCGAAGCACCTCCAGGCCCTATACAGGCGGCAAGGTCACGGCCTCCGGCTAGTGGCCACGCAAACGCCGCGGGCCCTGGCCCCAAAAGCCGTCAACGCCCAGACGCGAGTCCTAGTGGCTCACCAACAACTAGCGTCCATACATTACACCAGACCCCTATACGCCGAACAAGATGTGATGACACCAGCCTTTCCAGACTCCGTCTCAGAAGGAGACGTCAAGTTGGACAAGAAAGTCGGTGACGCCGTCGCTGCAGACGAAGTGGTGTTAGAAATTGAAACGGACAAGACCGCCATACCGGTGATGTCGCCTGGCAACGGCGTTATCAAAGAGCTTTACGTCAAAGACGGGGATACAGTGAAAGCGGGCCAGAAGTTATTCCGGATTGATGTTACTGGGGAGGCGCCGAAGAAGGCCGAAGCTCCTGCAGCGGCACCTGAGCCTCCTAAAGCTGCGGCTCCCCCTCCACCTCCGCCTAAAGCCGCGGCGCCCCCTCCCCCACCGCCGCCGGCTTCTACTCCTCCTCCTCCACCCCCTAAGCCGGTTTCCACGCCCCCTCCAGCCGCCCCGATCTCCTCAATCCCAGTAGCAGCCATCCGACACGCCCAAGCCATAGAAACGGCCACAGTGAAAGTACCCCCATCTGATTACAGCAAGGAAATGGCTGGCACTAGAACCGAGCAACGCGTCAAAATGAACAGGATGAGGCAACGCATTGCCCAGCGGCTCAAAGATGCCCAGGACACCAACGCCATGCTCACCACCTTCAACGAAATCGACATGTCACATATCATGGCCTTCCGTAAGAAGTACCTCGACTCGTTCACTAAGAAACACGCGGTTAAGTTGGGTCTGATGTCTCCTTTCGTGAAGGCCGCAGCCAACGCTCTAGTACACCAGCCTGTGGTTAACGCGGTTATTGAAGGCACCGAGATTATATACCGTGATTATGTAGATATCTCTGTGGCTGTGGCAACGCCTAAAGGCTTAGTGGTGCCTGTGATTAGGAATGTACAGAATATGACTTATGCCGATATCGAGTTGACTGTAGCTGGCTTGGCTGAAAAGGCGAGGACAGGAAAGCTGACCATCGAAGAAATGGACGGTGGCACCTTTACCATCAGCAACGGGGGTGTCTTCGGGTCTTTAATGGGAACTCCCATCATTAATCCACCCCAATCCGCCATTTTGGGAATGCACGGTATCTTTGAACGACCAATTGCACTCAACGGACAGGTCGTAATCAGGCCTATGATGTACATCGCCCTTACGTACGACCATAGACTAATCGACGGACGCGAAGCTGTCATGTTCCTCAGGAAAATCAAGGAGGGCGTCGAAGACCCGGCCACGATCGTCGCCGGACTGTAGATTAATTTATGAGTAAAATAACAGCTTCCGGTTTTTTCGAATCGAGAACGGGTTTTTAGTTACCAACCATCACCAGACCAGAACGAACACCGATTGGAGGGATACCATATTTAAAAAAAAATGCACCCGGAACCTGTATTCGCAATCATGTAAATTATTTCAAACGTCATTTCCTTTAGTAGCGTATATTAGATGCCGTGATTGAGATATGCACGCGTCGTGTTTGTATATTTATTTATTTTGAGTACGTCCGCCGTATGTGCGTATTATATTTTTGTCTTGTTTTAAGTATTAATAATTTAATAATAGAAAAGCAAGTACATTTCCTCAATGTGACGATATAAAACTGTTGTTTTATTTTTCTGTTGATTGGCATTTGTTTGGAACGTTCTATTTTTTAAGTGCAGTCACAATGATCGAATTAAACGATATTAAAATATCAAGATTTAGTCTATGTTCTCATTTCGAAAACCCAAATATTAAAAAGATTTTGTTTGCCTATAATAATTATCTTCTTGTAGGTTTCGCCAGGTCATTGTCTGTTTGAGACTAAAGACTAAGGCCCGTATTATAGCAAGATTCTCAGTGATTGATCTAGTCTTGAACATAGTTAGAAAGGGATGTGGCTATATATAGCATATAGCGATATCCCTTTCTAACTGTACTCAAGTAAAGATCAACACTTAGTTGTCATTCTGTAATACGGGCCTAGGACAGACGCGGCGGCCAGTTGTATTCGCTTGTAATGTAAATGGAGTGGTCAAACACGAGTGACCAATAAGAACAAGACGCGGCCGTCGGCGGTGGCTTTGGTACATAATACTTACTAAATGTGTTATTTGCGTTCGCAATTTTAAGTTGTTTTATCGTAATGAATTATCGGTCTGCTGTCTATAGACGCTAAGCCTAATAGGTAAAGACCTATTCTCATCAATTCGATTCATTAGTTCGATCGTCGAATTAGTGAGAAATTAATATTTTTTGATCCACCTTCGAACTAATGAGACTATTGTTCTCATTTCTTCGACTCGAACTTATTTTGATCGAGAAATAATAAACAATAAAAGTTTTAATAATCTCTCTCTACTACAGGTGTATATCCCCTTTTCAATATTGTATTAAATCCATCAATATTTATTAAAAAGAAAAGACGGGTTGCACTCCGGAAGTTCCAGCAGAAGGGAAAACTTGAATATTAACGTTGTGCATTGTTGATATTTTGGAATGGTTAGGGAATAATATTGCACGAATTGCTTTAATTATCAGTATAAAAGTAGTATTATGTGGTAGAATAAAATATTTATTTATTGCTCTATCGTACACAAACATGAAAATTGATATTACATTAAAAAAGTTAATCTCAGAAAAAATCAACTTACATGAATCACATTTAAGCGCACCTAACGACATCTATTGTAAAAAAGTGCATTTTCTTCGCAATAAAGCTGCCACGTGGACGTCCTAGATAGAGACTTATTATTATAATACGGTAAAATAAAATATTACTATGTTTCGTTCAATATATTGAAAGTCAACAACCTTTCCAATTTTATTGTTTTCGTCAGAACCCCGATCAGGCCACGTGTCATGACGCGATCAGCCCACGTGTCCTAACGCGAGTTTAACATTTTTTACCCATACAAAAAAAGTGTACAACGCCGCTAAAGAAGTTATCACTTCAAAAATATTTTGAAAAATGTACCACGAGACCATACTACATAATAATATAATACTAAGAGGTTCTGATAATGAAAAAGGCTATATAAAAGAAAATAAGTTCGACGACATTCGAAAAAATGAGATAAATAAAATCTCAGTAGTTCGACGGTAGAATAAATGAGGAAAAAATGCTCACTAGTTCGACGATCGAACTAATGCGTTATTTTGACACACTAAAAGAGGTTTTTTTTTTACATTAAATAGGCTTACGCTTAACGGCCACGCGACTGATGAAGAGCGACGTAGCAGCCTAAGGTGGGACGCGCTGGCTCTAGGCCAGCGCGTCCCTGAAGAAAACTGATTCACTCGCGACTTGAAGAGCCCCAGATTATAGTTGACTGGAAACAGAGATTCCGGCAAAAAGTTCCACAACCAAGCTGTTCTGACGATATAGGTTATGAAGTTGTGGGAGACGATAAATTAGTATTTTTTTTGTGTCGTGTTGTGTCGTAAAAAAAAGTTGTGTCCTGAGCTGGGCGACGTTATAAAAGTAATGGCACTATGTGGCGCTTCCTTCTGGCTGTCTCAAGTCCTCACAGGACGTGGGTACCACCTGCAGTATCTGTGTAGATTTAAAATGATAGATAACGACACCTGTCCCTGCAATAGCGGGGCCATTCAGAGCATTGATCACCTACTGTTCGAGTGTGGTAGATATGCACGAATCAGACAGAAATATACTTCTTGCTGTGAATTTCATAAAATACTTAGATCCACACAATGTTATAGAAAGTGCATCCAATGAGAGAACGCGAGTAGCAATGCTCGAATTCTTTGAGGGAATATTTGGAACTCTAAAGCAGTTCAACGAAACATAAATTTGAAAACATAAAACTAAATATAGTACTATTAACTTATCATACGTATTTATAATATATATATATATATATATATATATATTCACAAATATACTACTAATATAAATAGTAAAAAACATATATAGTATCAGAGATATAATAAATAATACTTACCAACAGTGTAAAACGAGTTCAATATATGAACACCACAGGTTTTGCTGTATCAAATCGCAGCGCACCAAACCTGCAAAACGAAATCACACACATAATTAAAAAAAAAAAAAGACGATAAATTATTAGGTATGTGCAGCTGAACCTGAAGGAGCGCACTTAATTCAAAGGTCGGTATTTTTATATGAGTTATCGTACCACTGGTCAGTTTGCTTATTCGAAAATTTCACCACAACTACTAATTAGAAAGTTTCTGAATTAGCTAATTATCTTATTTGCCAGTTTCACTAAGTTGGCAATTTTCCCTATTAATTCGTTTCCTGGTTTGCCAGTTGCCTTGTTCATCAGTTAGTTTTGATGTATCAGCGAAGGGGTCATCCATAAATTACGTCACACGAATTTCATGTCTTTTTTGCCCCTCCCCCCGTCCTTGTCACAGCTGGTCACATTTGTAAGACTCCCCCCCCCTCCCTAGTGTGACGTCACATATTTTGCAAAGGACATCGACGAAATTGGCCCTAGCATGCCCAAAAGAATGTCCTTCACTATTATTTTTCTATTATTTTTTTAACTTATTAGCAATTAATCATAGTAAACCGACAATCTGTTTAAAAAAATAAAAAATAAAAGTGCTGTTACTAGATACTACAGTCTGTTCATCCAACTTGTCCTATTTGGTAAACAATCTTGGCACTCCTTTTTATTGAAAAAACAGCATTAAAAATCAACTGATAACTGTTATCAATAGGTTTCAGTCTATAATAACGATTTATTTTAATAGTTTATTGGCTTCATTAATATTTTATTATTAAATGGGTGATTCTGTTAAAAAGTTGTGCCAAGATTGTTTACCTTAATAAATGCAATAAAGGCAACCATAGGTATTTATCAACATAAAAATAGAACTAGGTACCTTAGTAAATAATACTTATTACTAGTATTTCTATGATATTTATAAAAAGATTATTTCTGAAATTATGTAAAGATAGTTTATACTCCCATCCCATGTAATATCTGTTTATTTTTATGAAAATCATAATGATAACCAGGTACATACCTAATTACCGATAGTCAAATATAGAAACAGGTAAATGGAAAGACATGGAACATTTCATTGCAAAAGAAATCTATTATTACTACAGGTAGATGTAGGTGCCAACTGCCAACACTCATAAATCAATATGAATGTAAGCATTTATTATTTTTATTATTAATTGCATTTTATGTTCATTTAATGCATATTATTTAAGTGCTTACATAGAGGTAAATACTAAATCTATTCAGAATATATAAAGTGTACATCTTTTACGATTGAGTATAATAATTATAACCTCAAAATCTAATACATTCTATAGTAGGCCACGGTGCCTCAAGTTGTCCGTATCTCAACAAATGCCTAATTAGAGTTTATGAATGATTCCGAACACAACTAGCACTTTCTCATTGCTGGGCGTTCTAGGGCATTCAATGTATGGGGAACGAGCAATGTCCTTTACATTTAGAAATCATTGAATGAAAACAGCGGTTCTGTAATCAGTTTTATTTCCATTTAAATTGTTTTTTCATTATTATTATAATCAAATCAAACAATTAACAAAACAAAAAAAATACCGAACAAAAAGTGATTGACTATGTTAATTAAAGAAATTAACAAAACATAAAATATTAATAGCATTATAATTAAATTAAAGATACAAACTTAATAATGCTGAGTCCATGGACATTGATCCCACTCCTTTAAATTATTTATAACTGGCATAGCACCACTTTGTTCTCGTTTGGGTTGTTAATGCTTTCGTAAAGTAATAGTTTCAACACTTAGATTTTAATATATTTTGAAATGTGACGTCACGAAATTTAGGACCCCTCCCACTCAGACCAAATAAAACTTTTTATTTGGTCTGAGCCCTCCCACCCCTTGTCACACGAAGTCACATTTCGTCGACCCCCTCCCTACCCCTTAAAGTGTGACGTAATTTATGCATGGCCCCGAAGCAGAGAGGTTCCAAAATAGTGAAGTACAGTAGAACGCCGATTATCCGAATTAATTGGGACCGGGGTAGATTCGGATAATCGGCCATAGACTGGTAATGAAGAGAAACGAACTGTCACACATAGAATAAACCTTATGAAGTTTAACAAACAGTTCTACAATACTAAACACAATAATAGAGGTGCATAGTAGCAAAAAAAAAACAACGGGAGTGCCGGCAGAAGTGAAAACTTGAATAATAACGTTGTGCATTTTTGATATTTTGGAATGGCTAGGGAATAATTTTGCACGAATTGCTTTAATTATCAATATAAAAGTACTATTATTTATGTGGTAGAATACAATATTTAGTTATTGCGCTATCGTACACAAACATGATAATTTATATTACCTACATTATAAAGTTTATCTCTCAGAAAAATCAACTTACATGAATGACATTTAAGCGCACCTAGCGACATCAATTGTAAAAAAAATGCATTTTCATCGCAATAAAGCTGCCACCTGGGCGTCCTAGATAGAGACTTATTATTATAATACGATAAAGTAAAATATTACTATGTTTCGTCCAATATATTGAAAGTCAACAACCTTTCCAATTTCATTGCTTTAGTCTTACGCCACGTGTCCTGACGCGAGTTTAACATTTTTACCCATTACAAAAAAGTGTACAACGCCGCTAAAGAAGTTTTCACTAAAATAGGCTAGAAGGGTGATCATAGACTGTTTGTAAGGGAACCAATGTCGCCGGTTAGCCCCCAGTACACTTCCACCTAATAGATATTAGCCAATCAAACGACGCGAGATTGAACAATCGTACCAATCAGCACTCACACCCGAGAGCAACGCCGCAATCAGAACCAAGTTTAGGTCAAATAATGAGCCTTTGCTCACACATAACTGTGGCGCGTCTGCCCCGCCCACAAGGCCTTCTAACCTATATCTGTGTTCTGTGATATCAGTATAATATGTATTCTTTAAATCCGTTACCCTAGCATCCCATAGCACAAGCCTTACCTACTTACATTGCAAACTTTGGAGCTAGGCAAATTTTTTAGTGTGAGAAATATTTATTTATTATTTCAATAATGCCCGTCCTTGGACGAAGAATCTGGCGTCCGTCCGTCTATTGGATTTTTTGTAACGAAAAAGTTAAAGCACTTACTATTAAAATCGACTTTATCACCTTGTAATAAGAGTGTTATTCGTTTAACAAGTGTTACTATTCACATAACTTTGACCTGTACAATACGGTTGTCATGACTACAGACAAGTACACAATTTAATGACATACAAATTGTCACGACCGACAACTCCATTATTTGGATCTTGGTGCATGTTCTATCGAAGTACTAAAGGGAAATTTATAAAATACTTTAATAAATAATTTACAAGACGAAAAATAGGATAATTATGTATAGTTTTTTCATATGAGTACCTGAAGATAAGTTTTAATAATTTTTAAGAAGAATTGTTTGTGTGACCTGACCTACATAGTTTTATAAGACATTTAAGCCAAGGTGAGAAATGTTTTCTTATGAATATTTAATTATTTGGACTTTCTTGCTTTAAGAAATGTTGGCCTTGAAGGCTCTGGGTTGGGATAGTCCGTTCTAGAATATTATCAAGTCATAATTTTCGGATTACTATCATCATTATAAAAAGGCAAATGAAAAAGCTTTTTCTTTCATCATCTTTAGCCTATTAATGTTCCCACAGCTGGGGCACAGGCTCTCCCTTTGGATGGAAAAGGAAGACCGGGAGGAGGAGACCTTCGATGCGGGCCCAGTGCGGATAGGTGGGTGCTAACGACTGCAGATACGATCGGGACCAAACGTGCTTGAAGCACCGAAGTTCTATCTAAACAGATCCTGGCTTTTAATGCTAATGTCGATGCTATATTGCAAGGTCGTAAAGAAACGTATATGTATACAAATAAGGCCTAAGCTGAAATAAGACCTGAAGTGCAGAAAATTCTATTAACATATGTTTACATCAAAAATACTTTACACACGCATTGATGACAGTTCTCCAACTCGGCAAACTGTGCACGAGCGGTCCGCTCGAGCTCATAGCGTCAGTAGTGGCGGTACTTCGTGAAGGACGAGCTTTTCATAGCGCGTAATTAATTTGTTGTTATCTTTAACGAATTATAATACGTTAATCTTTGAAGTTTTGTTTCATGTAATGTATAGGGATCACAATGTAACTAGGTAATCAAAAAGTTGACTACGACTTAAAAGGAGATTGCTCAGCTTCCATACATGTTTGGCCTAAAGACCAATAATCATGAAAAATTGTTTCCTAGATTCGAAATTATATATAAATTACTGTAGAAACGAATATTATTGACGGACACTACTGAGAACTTCTATAAACCATATACACTGAATGATTTTGAGGTTGTTTGGAAATAGGTACATAGGTATTAAAATAATAAAAAACAAATAAGTAACGAAATTATGTATTAGATTCATGTCATATATAACATGTAGATTAATAGATAGTTGCCTGTTTTTAAAGTTAATGCATAAGAGTAACTTTTATAATCATCTATGCATTTCCGGTAACAATAAGGTACATTTCTGTGACAGAAAATGTGTGTTATTTGTGAATGAGCCACAGATTTAGAGAGAATTTTTAAACTCTCGTTAACTAAAGAAAGCTTATTATTTTTGTTATGTTTATATTATAATCATATTTTAGATTTTTAGTGTATCACACCTGTTAATGTGTTTATGGAGGTGTTTGGCGAAAATTGTATGGCAATAGACTTTTGATGTCGCCTACCATCTATAATATTTGTCTTAGCACATTTGCATGTAGTAAAAATGATAATATACTTGTGGATATTAATACCACAGTGTAATAAAAAAAATGTTTTATTTTATCGATCTTTACAATAGATTTGTTTTGATGTTATATAAACAACTTCGATCACTCTTTGGCTGAATGTTACTACACCCATAACCATTAAAAATGATTCGTATGTTTTCCAAACCGGTAAAAATGTAAGTCCTTTTTAAAATGAATATATTATACAAAGGTGTCCGTTAAAATCTAATGACTGTAAAATAAAGTATAAATTACGCCAAATATTACCGTATATGTCAATATTTTTTGTACATTTGGGCCAATTTGAGCAATCTCCTTTAACTTTTTAGAATATGCGAATTAAATACTACTTATAACTTTTATGAAGTATAATGTACTTAATAAAGCCAACTTTTATAAAAGGCCTTATTTTTGTCAAATATATCTATCAAAATATATATTCATTTTCCAATATTTAATAATATTTACGAGAAGATATGTTAATTTGATAATTTTTGTTTGTATGGAGGTTTTTTTTATTTTATTCTTTATCTCTTGCATCGCATTTAATATGCGACTTCAAATCTGACTAGCAATTTAAGCAAAATATTTAGTAGATTAAATTAGAATGTTGTTCAAGGATCGCATGGAAACACTTGATTAAAGGCTTAGAAATACATATTGTAATATAATTTATACTCTATTAACAATATTCCTATAATTTAAGTACATAGGCTTTGTTAAGTCACTATGTTTTTAAAAGGCCTGATAATAGATTGTATATATGTTTTCATAATTACTTAAAATTTATGAACCAAGGAATAAAGCCTTGCTTTTATTTATCACCTTCTTCGAATAATTTATCATGATATAAGTGTTTGAAATTAGTAGGCCTTATTTGTATCACTTACTTACCTTATTTATTGTTTGTAACTACCGGAAATTAAAATTCTAATATGCTTTTTTATACTAATAAAATATGACGGAAGCGAAAATGACTTCATTTTTGCTAACGTATTCTTAAGGTTATTCAATTCAAAACCTAGCTAAGCCTCAGCATGAAACAAGTATTTGTTTGAATCGAAATGGAATAGCTTGGTAGGTACTTGATTGCAGAATATACTCGTAGTTATTTGCCGTCTCGTTAGGTTGCGAATTACTTCCTCGTTTTCTCTGGTTTCTTTCAAATGGAAAACTAACTGATAACATTTCAGAATGGAATAAATTTCTCAATTACTTAATCAAAATAAGTTCATAAAGATGATCTTTAAGGCAAGGCAGAGGAAAACTGTTACTCATTGGAATATACCTAATTATTACGAAAGCACCTAAGTCTTTACAGAAATCTATTGTTGCATCCTAAAACAATAACATGAATTATGTTGGTTGGTTTCAGATAATTATTTAGTTAGTACATAATGCAAAAAACTATTAAGAAACCTATAGACACAAAGGGGAAAAGGAAAGAGAAGTCATCAAAAGAAGACGCGTCTGCGTTGGCGAAAAACCCCCAAGAAGAAAAGTTGAAGAAAAGTGTGTACAGCGTTTCCACACCTCGAAACTTCATGCCAAAATCATCGACAGCTGACATTTACGCTCAGAAGAAGAAAAACAGCGTCCAAGCATTGAAAACACCGAAGAAGGTGCCTGGCACTACGGACAAAAGTAGCGATGTATCGCCTATGAAGAATATACTTAAATCTTCCCCTTCGTCTGTGAGTCAAAAGAGAACATATCCGACAATTGTCAATGACAGTTCGGCTAGGAAAAATGACGCAAAAGTATTCAACACAGCATCAGCCAGACATGCAACGCCTCGCACGGCAAGAGATTTGCCCACAGTAAACGTGACTGTGAACTCGCCAGTGTTAAAAAAAAAGTTGCACCAAGATGGTGGCAAAAGAGACATAAAAAATGGCGGGAAAATTACTGAAGTGGAAAAGAGAGATACGAAAATTGGCTTGAAAACTTCTGAGGTAGAAAAAGGAAAAATCTTAAAATCTGACTCCAAGAATGCTGAAGAGAGACAGCGTACCAAAACTAGAACGCTCAATGAGAGTGAAGTTAAAATTCTAACGCGCGATGGAGGTGTTGATAATAATGTGGAAATGCTCAATCTGACGCGAAAACTAACTGCGAAACCGAAGGCCTTCTATGTCGAGTTGGACGAGCCCAAAACCAAGGTAAGTATTTCGGGGCATGTGAAAAGGCTCACCGCTAACTGCCTGCAGGCATGTATGTATTCCTAACCCAAGCATTCTATTATTTACACCCACGAAGGATAAAATGTTACCAATGATGTCGATTCTGGCATGATTCTCTGGACTTAAAACTAAATTTGACATCATCTCGCCTTTTCACTCCGTATAGAGAACGACAATGTCGTTTAAAAAAGAGGTACACGTTTCATAGTGTAATATTACCAAATACTTAGGGTACCTGTTATATTGTTATTACACCATCGGATATTTATAGATTCTCATTAAGATAACCTACCTAGAATAAATGTATTTCAGGCGCTTTAATATTACTTTTAGGGATTTCATTAGCTACGAGTTTTGGCAAGTATTCAAAAAGGGATTCGATAGCTGTTATGTTAACCTTGCGTAATTCATTCTATTTTTTAAGAATTCTAAAGCACCTAGTTTCGTCGTTATAAAGGGCCATCGCTAAGGCACAGGCTATAATTAAACATCAATTGTATAAAATAAACAAAAGCCACGGTTATATCTGCAGTCGTTAAGTTACCATTGGGTCCGCATGGGCTCAATTCAAACCGCCGCGCATGCAAGAGAATTTTGACAAATTGAACTTTATGTCAATAGTATAACAAACAAACTAAATACGAGCTGAAAACTTAGGGAATTTTAGACAATGCGCGATTGTCACTGCCACGAAAGAAGCGTCACTTTTTTTGAATCGCAAAAAAATAATTAAAAATATTTTGATTTAATCGCTATTTGCTTCATAGCCCCAAAACGATAAGACGAGTGAAGACGAAGTTAGCTACGAAGACGATTTCGAGAGCTATGAATCTGATTTCGAATCTTACCACGAGTCTCAATCTGAAGATTCTGAGAAAGCCAATGAACATACCCGCGCAACATCGGACGAACAAAGCGAAGATGAAAACAATTCTGAACATGACGAAGAAAAAAGTCTGGAAACTGAAGAGGGCTCTAAAGAAGTTAAAGATGAAGAGAAAATGTTAGATTCTGGTAACTAATACACTCTTTTCAATTCTTTTTGTAGCGGTCCGGATACCGCCAGCTTCATAATAATTGTAGTGTGAAGGAGATGGCTGATCTTATGCAGAAAAACCTGCCGTGAATGATAGAAGACCATGCTTATATTGCTACATCAACGCAACAGTACTGAAGACACCCAAATCTTAGATTAGCACTTTCAGAAATATGTCCCGTATTTTATATTATAATCTAAGTTACACTAATCGCTATGCTATCGAAATGTTTATTTATTAGATTAACACCAACTCAAAGAATATATACAAACTAAAATATATGCTATGTGTAGAATCTTTTCTAATATTCCTAAATGCATTCGCCTAGTAAGTTTGCGAAAGTCGCTAGTTCGCGTCCAGCCCGTTCACCCTGAGCTTTATTATCTAGCAAAAATTTAAGAAGCACACTTTGCACCAAATGGGTTGGGGTAATTTGCACCTTGCATAAAACAACATTTCCTAATTCTTGTTGGTTGATTGATTTATTTGTCCAGGCAACTTCGATCTCCGTGATTCTCGGTCAGCCAACAAGGCTAAGCCGATGCAGTTCATCTTGGAGGATACGGAGCCCGACGTAAAGAGCTCCCTCACCGACGAGGGGTTCCAGGAGATGAGTAGCGGCTCCAGCATCAGGACCGTTCATACGGAAGTGCTGGACAGGTAAGTTGTTCATTATCATCATATGTATCTATAATATTACAGTCAGCATTCTTTATCACATATCCTCTGAAGAACTTAATCATGTAAGGAATGTGTCACACATTACGCAGTCTCCAGTCGGTATTGAATAATGAAAGATGGATTCTCCATTGAACTTTTCGATGTTACTCTTTATTTTAGTTTTATGGTCTGACTGACGTCCGATCTTCCTTAATATAAATTGTAGCCCACGCAGGGATTCTTAAATTTACTCGAGCGCGGCTGAATTACTTATGGGGGCAAGGCAACCTTACACCTTGTGAAGTACTCCCACCATAATACCTGAGCCCTCTATGTAGGTCCGAACATCTATGGCAGCAAAACAATTTTTTAACAATCGACCATGACTTTTGGTCGGGTCCTAATCGTCAGTATTTTGAATAGGAGTTACTGGAAGGTTGCCGTGAAATTAAGTTTTTGGAGAATCCCTTGGGAAACTAACATTTATAAGGTATAGAAAGTATTATTTGCCTAAATACAGGTAATTAACTATATGTATGTCAAATTCCACCCAAATCTGTTCATTTGTTTTTGCGTGATTAGGTAACAAACTTTTAAACTTTCACATTTATAATATAAGATAGGACTTACTGTGCGACTTCAGGTCCGTTGGTATGAAGATTTGGATGACTCTGAGAGGTTTTTTTTAAATGAACAACCAAAAATCATTTTTTCCAGATGAAAGATACATAGGTACCTGAATCTTTAAAAGCCTTACTAATCTTGTTTCAGGCCACTATTTATTGACTTCACGAAATCAAAAGCGGATAAACGCAAGAGGAAAGTGTTCGAAAGGCTAAAGCAACGCGCGAAAGATATTTTGAGCATGGTAACACTGCACGCGATGTCGTATTCGCTGTTCGAAATGAAGCCGATACCTTACGACGTGTACATGGCAACATTTGGCCGTTCTAATTACATGCAATCTGCAGTACAAACATTCGAAGATGGTATTTCGGAAGAAGTACAGACTGAAGAAATTCAACAAGACGATAAATGGACGCAATATCCCGTAGATTTCTCAAACCACCTCATACATTTGAAAGATAACAAAACAAAAAGAAAATTAGACCATATTAATATAGAAGATTACCTAACGAAATTTACATTTTTAATAAGCGATAATTCTAGAGAAGATGATGAAAATCAATGCAATCTCGATGAAAGTTACAAATCTAGTCCCCTGAGAGTGTATTTTGAACAGAAAGAAGGCGTCGGCTGCACTGAAATGTTGCCATACGAAACGTACAAGAAAAAATTAAAGAGTACAGACTTCAACAGGATGCGCTTGGGGAAATTTTTAAAGAAGCACGAAAGTAAAATAAGTCGTATTTTAAGTACAAATTTGGGCACAGATCCCATGGGACTAGTCAAAAGTAATAAATATCCCTTTAGCAAGGGTTTCGTTACCATAGCAATGAAAAATGTAACAAATGAAGAATTAAATTTTGTTAAGCAAGCCAAAATCAGTGCAGTAGTAGTTTCAGAGAGTAGGAATAATTTGATTTGTACGATACATGATAAATGTACGAATGTTATAGATGGTAAATGTGTGATATGTCTATGGAACGTAAGTGTTGCAATAAGAGAGCCATTAAAAATATTGGTTGCCATAGACAGTGTAAGCATAGCTCGTTTCAAAGGCGGTACAGATGGAATTATCGTAGCAGCTTTAAAAGATGGGTAAGAATCTTTTGGTAAACTCATTTATCTCAAAAATGAAATGAAAACGACAAGACTTAAGAAAGTTCTTTAAAAAATATAATCGTCAAAACTACTGCTTGCTGCAAGTTCAAGTTTTGGTAGGACTTTTATTGACTATGACTTTTTCGACATGATAATGTCTTATAAATCGTCATGTTTCACCTAAGTCTGAGCGTGCAAGCATCGTGTGTACACATTTATCTTTTTTCTTGCGTGACGTCAGAGCTATTATGCAATTTTTCATGAATGCTATGACGTTATCACGTAAAACTATCGTCAAACGACGATCGACTATTGGTATTGGCTGTCTGTATTCAACCAATTTTTTGAAGTGTAAACAAACTTCTTCATTGTCGCTGTGACTTGAGATTCGATGAAACGGAAGTAGAGTATTTGATACAAAGTAGCTAACCTTAATTTTATAACAATTTGCAAGAGACGGTAAGCCGAACGAAATCTGTCTTTGGGTCAAGCCTAAAAGATCGGTGATTCGATCCGTAGTTCGGTTAATGTTTTTAGTAGCGCTATTATTTTTGCTGTGTCTGTGTGTACCTTCTGTAAGGTGGAAGTTACTTCCCCAGATGGGCGCTCGAATTCTAACGGGAAATCCGCTATACCTTACTCTCTTAAATTGATTATTGATCGATAAATATAAAATGATTAACAAAAAAAACTGAAAAGACCGCAAAAAATTCAACAAAACATATTGCACTTATTCTACTTATTATAGCTATACTGGCGAACTTAGATTTATTTTGTGTAAGTATATTTTCGAAATTCCTGATGGACTGCTTTTTGCCCGCTGTCGATGTTCTGTCAATATGTTGAAGATATCTCACAGCCTTCTGACATATACAATCAATAACTTTTCATATGACGTAGGCATGAAGAACTTTTATGTGTTTTCATTTTTGTAGGTTTCACTTCTATCGCATGTGAACTGCGGGTCAATTAAGCTTTAGTGATATAATCCTAATGTGATGTCAATATGATGTTGATGCCAAGTTGACATTGTTTTTAAATGGTATTATGAAACATTCCTATGTCACATCAAGATCACATCAATATTATATCCTGTATCACATTTTTGACGTTTATGCGATAGTGTTTTAAGTCAAAAAGTTGAACGTAATACGCATTTAAGTTGATGTCAAGTTGATATCATTTTAAAGAATTGATCATAATATGCATAAGTTGATGTCATTTTGATATCGCAGTTTTCGGAGAGCATAATACGTAATATGAAATTGACATCAAAACAATATCACAATTAGCGAGCATAATTGGCTTGCTGCATACATGCTCGTTTTTTTTTACAGTTCTGTACATCTGTGGGACCTTACTGAGAAGCCGATGTGGTATCCCGACGTTAAAGAAGAGAAACCTTTAGAAATAGTTGTAGATGATGTTGGAAGATTAACGCAAACAGAAAGAGATCGCGAATGGAACGCAAAGAACAGTCAAGTCGGCATCGGTCCTCCGGTAAATAACCTTGCAGTGTATCCGCTACAATTCTATAGTCGTCTGTAGTCTCTGAGATCTGTTAGATCACAACAAATTCCCACCCACCTAGTGTTTAATGTAAGCAGGGCCGTCTTTAACCTATTGGAGGCCCTGGGCATATTAAGATAATGGGGGCCATGACTGATGTGGAGCGAGTCATACTGATGAGTGTACTACTGATGATTTTTCTTTAAATGTGTATGTGCATAGTATACCATATCCGTGCTTCGGAAGGCACGTTAAGCCGTTGGTCCCGGCTGCATCTGCAGTCATTAGCACCCACCAATCCGCAATGGGCCCGCGTGGTGGGTCATGGCCCTCCCTAGTCTCCCTAGTCCGTCCATAGGGAAGGCCTGTGCCCCAGCAGTGGGGACATTAATAGGCTGATGATGATGATAGTATACCATTATATGTATATTTAAATTTATCTAAGCATGCTGAAGTCGGAAAGCCTAATTTTTGGGCGAGAGTAGAATAGCTTCGCTTATGTAAAATCTAGTAAGCTAGTAATTTGTGAAGTTGATATTGTGGTCAGTAATTTAGGTTCGAATTCATCGAATTAGGTAGGTATATGAGTTTTTTGGTAATAAATATTAGTTATCGTTTGATCTGACAGGAATTAGGGACTTTGTATTTGATCTGAGGGAGGCCCCTATCGATCGCGGGACCCTGGGCACTTGCCCAAGTTGCCCACTGGGAAAGAGGGTTCTGAATGTAAGTGAACTTCAACCGCAAAGGTAGACGGCAAAATAGTACCTATTCCGTGCCATCCTTACCTTGCCAGCTTCAACTTAATCCCTTACGGTGTGGGGCTTCAGTGTGATGAGTACTACCCGGGAAGAGAGAGAATCAATTTTTCCGAACTTCTGTTGCATGACATATTTGACAATACAGAAAATAAAAACTATTATTTTGACTATTTTATGAGGGCAAACATTTCAATTCCCGCCTAGGGACCTTATCTTAACACAAGCGTTAATAACAAGGATAAAGAATTTAGGCTTCAAGGGGGTAGCTAAGGCATAGCGGATAACTGATGCGGCGGAAATCCAGCCACTTCTAACCATCAGGCCCAAACCCAGTCCCCTTATTAATGAGGCATTTCAACCTTGGCCTCTTAACGAAATAGAAATGTTATGGAAGCGAAGCATTACTATCTAATAAAGGCCGCTAAACCATACTTGCAAACTCATTCAATTAATTTCAATACTAATGCGACACGCATGCACACACAGACAAAACAAAATAATTGTACAAATCAAATATCTGCAAATTAATTCATCTATCCATTCATTTGGTAAGATAATGTTAAACGGAAATCCTAACCGATCCCATGTTGATCTCATTTTTTTCTCCCCGCCCACTTGATCGCAGTTTACGTGGAACCAGTTTTTAACGCAATTCGTATTCTTATATCATTACTAATTTGTTGTAGCCTTCATAATAAAGTGGTTGTTTCAGCCACCGCGCTGCTTACTGCAAGCTTGCGCGTACACCACCAGCGCCTCATACATGCAGACGACTTGCTGTACTGATATCACGGGGTTGGTGGTGGACACTGGCGCCGCACACAACGTGGAGGCTGGCAGGAGGGTGGTGGGGCAGGTAAGGACGGGTTGAGGTGGAAACCTCCTGGAAAGCAATGGAAGCCTACTGTTAGGAGGTGATGCTGCAGAGAGAGACTGAGGAGCGTCAACGGGAGGCGGATCCTCTGTCTCAGTTGATCCGGAGAGGGCGGGGCAGGAGAACGCCCGATGCCCGTTAGGACAAGAAGTCCCATGAGTTGAGCGATGCTCCAAGTGTACCGGTGCATCGTCCGGAAAGCGGTAGGGAGGGGCACGATTCAAAGCTTTGCTCCCCTTCCAGAGGTTGGCTTGCTCAATAGCAAGCAGTAGGCCCTTGCCTACCGAACCGACTAAGGGTTTCATTCTCGTCTAGTAGGTAGGAAAGGCACAGTCCGACAGAACCCGCTCACCATACTTCAGTGACTGCGTATGCTGCAGGCATTTCTCCCACGCAAAAAAAGGAATGCAATACCTTGAAAATCATTATCGATACTAACTTGAAAATATTTAAAAGGATAACTAGATCTACAATATATCTTTATCTACAGGAGTTCTCCAGTGTTCACTATGTAGTTGTTCTAGATTTTTGGAACTCCTAATTGATTACGTCATACTTACTTTTTTTGGGGAATTTTGCAATGAGACACTGACATCACTTTGAAAATGTCAAGATGGAGTCGTAATTTTTTTAACTAATATGATGTTATAGTTTTATTTTTTTAAGGTGAATAATGAGCTACTTATCGATAGTAAGTGACTTTTTGGTTGTTTTTATGTGTCCTTTATAATTTCGGCAAACTTTTATCGGACAATTCGTCATTTTTAAGCAATAATTTCGACACGAAACTCGGTAATTGACGTGCGTACTGCTCAGCGTTGCATTAAACAGTATTGTGACGAGCAGTGTTACCAAGTCCAATAGGCCAGTAACGAATTTGTTTCTGTGGCTTATGCCGCCCGTCTCTCTCTCTTGAATAATATCTCTCTTGTGACCACTTCTGACTCTGCCTCTGACCCCGACTCTGCCTCCGAGTCCGGTTCCGACTCCGATAAATCAAATTTAAAAATTCCGGCTCCGACTTCGGTTCCGATAAATTTACCTCCGTTATATCCCTGGTTTCAACTCTGATACCTACACAATAACGTTAGGCGTACCGCAGGGTTCTCATTTCAGATCTCTATTGTTTTATTGTTTCCAGGTATGCGCTCTCCAGCGTGTCGGACTGATAACAATATGGTCGATAATACAGGAGAAATTGAAGAATACTCCATATGACATGGGAAAAGCGTACTGGTCCAAAATGAAACTGGAAAAGAAACAGACCATATCATTGGCAGATCAAATAGGAATGCAGACTTTCGATACAGTAGAGAATAAATTTGAGCTTATGTTTAATTTAAACGCGGCGAAAAGAAGGACCTCTTTGCGAAAAAAAGAAAAATCTTTACGGAGACAGTTTTTGCGCCCAAAGTCGGGTGGCAATTTTGACGCTAATGACAGGCCGTCGAGTGCTGCCGTCGGGAAAAATAGCCAAATGTTGCCAGTGCAAAGTTGGGAGGATGATCTGTTTTGTAACGATTTGAAAATGATAAGGCTGAATAATAGTGACAATTATTTGGTCGCGAAGAACTGTGGCGAGGTGCTGTGTTGCACGAAGAACGCTGGCGCTGTGAAAGTTAATAGGCTTTGTGTTGCTAGTGAGTATTTAACATCGGTAACTAATTTTAAAATCTGGCAGCTTACCGCCCCGGGCCCTCGTTGAACTAGGGTAACGCCACTGGTCGGGCGCGGAGACGCGGTGAAATCCCTCAACGGAGATCTCGCGGTTCCGAATTTAACAGCGTAGAGGGTATTCGCAGGCGAATTTTTTAGCGGATAGTATGTCGTAAGCGCTCGTAAGTGCCCGCGCGGACTGCTTAACGGCTTCTCCGTTTCGCATCAGTGAGTCTTGCGAGAGGCTATGTGTAAGGTCCGTTCGTTGGTGTACCCTTTGAGGGTACCAACGTCTGTAAATAAAGGCTTTACCTGCGTAATTAAAAAAAGATAATACTCCTGGTAAGTAATGGTAAACTAGCCAAAATTATTTCTTTTAGAGAACTCGATGGCCCTTTAGTTCTAGCTTCGATTTTGTGCTAAAAATGGTTAGGTAGGTGATTTTTTTTCCTATACGCACCTTTTACTACACTTTTAATAACCGCATTAAAAGTGACCGACGCCCAAGTGGTACTTCTATTCCCAAAGGCCTTGGGATCGAATCCTGGAATAGGAAACTATTTTCTTCCCTTCCCATGCCAATATCCTACTGTTTATGTAAAAAGGTGCCAAATGCAATTCCTAGTGTATCACTTGTGAGGATGTCTACTTTAACCCCATTTGTGGCTCATCCCCTAGTCCATAGAGGTATAGAGTATACATTTGGAACGCACTTTAATATATCTATATAGTATATTAAAGTGCGTCTTAAATGTTTTGTTTTGAGAGCGAATCTAAACATAAACATAACATAGTTATGTGTTTTTTATAAGCATTTAACTGCTAGATAAATCTGAAGAAAATTTTACTACAAAAAATTCCACGAGGATCATTTGGGCCGCGATAGCATAATGGTCAGTGCATCCGGCCGGATAGCGGAGCGTGTGGGTTCGAGTCCCGTCTGTTGCCTGGTCCACGTGGATTTTTTTCTAGTAAAAATTTCTTTAGATTTAAACTTAACTACCTTTATTAATTTAAAAGAAAATCAGATCATTCAATTGATCTATTTATTTATTAATAAATTTATTTGGTTATTTGTTGACAGCTTTACGCACCACTTTGTTTACCTTTGTTCTCAAAACGTTTGAAATGGACTATAGCTGCTAAAGACGCTCACAGGTAGAGTTACCATCCGTCTGGATGAGTCTGACAAGTCCGGACTATACTTCAAATTTTCCGGATTTTTTGAATTACATTGAATATGAATAATAAAAGTACATATTGATTTAAAACCATACTATTGTAACCAAGTAGGAATGGTACCATTTTGTGACTAAAAAGTCAGGACCTTTTTCGAAATGTCAAGATTTTTGTCGGGACTTTTGAAATTCCTAAATGGTAACCCTATTCACAGGTTAGTTACCCAAAAACTGACTAAACTTTTTTCCAAACGACTTTGAGCTTTATCCCAATTGTTATTCATTCACAATCACAATTCATCGTGTATGAATTAATTTTATAGTTTGTGCTAACTTTACGTCTAACTTTATTCACAACAGCTGACCTGTCTCGAGTGACTTGTATAGAAGTGTCGACGCATGGGTCGCCTCACTTCTTGGCGGCCACCGACTCTGGGACCGTCAACCTGTGTTCGCTGCGAGACCACAGGGTTCTGCTTACGCTGGACGTAAGGTAGGTAAATTCCTAGATATTTTTATCTCTTTTCACCATATTACAAAACGTAGAGGAAAAAACCTGGACTTAAACTAATGCTGTCACTTTGGTTTGCTAAAAGCAAGAGAGAGACAACATTAGGTTTAAACTTTAGATTAAAATGAAAAGGGTAGATACGGTACGCTCATACTAGCATCAAATAAAATATGATCCGACTCAACTACATAAGCGACTCTCACACACGCACACGTCTGTATATAAACATTTAATCGAGCGAGCGAGACAGAACTGTCCGTACGGCTGAGCTGTATGTCCAAGAAAAGTCTTGATAACAAAATGGCAATTACGTAAATAACATTCACGACAAACCGTGATTTTTGAGAAAAAAAGGTTTGTTACAGTTTTACGAATGAAAAGCGTTGCCAAGGCATTTTAAAAAAGCATTTTATAGTTATAATTTTTATTTTTCAAGCATGTAATGCACTGACCATTATACTACCGTGACCCCGATGGCCGTGTCCAATTCTTTCTAGCCTTCCTTAAGCTGCAAGGCTAAACATTTTATAGAAACCTTGTTGACAATAACGAATACAAAAAAAATAAAATTTGATACCTACAGTTAGTAGTAGTTCAGAAGTTACACTCATTTCTACAATTTGTTTTGTGTTTTGTTAATATATATACCTATATGTAGATCTGTATTCTACACCACCCGGGACTCGGTGTGAAAATAGATTATTATGATGTTTTATACGTCATTGGATAGATATACATCTATAATATGACGAAGATATAATTTGACGACCTCCGTGGTCGAGTGGTTTGTACGCCGGCTTTCATGGTGTCGCCGACTCAAGAGGTCCGGGTTCGAATCCCGGTGGGGGCAGATGTTTGTGTGATGAATACGAGCATTTGTACGCCAGTCATTGATGTTTAATATGTATTTCTATATAAATACACTTGTATATGTACTGCATATGTATTCTATCCGTTATCCTTCTATCCCATAACACAAGCCTTACAGTGCTTACTTTGGGGCCAGGCTAATTGATGTGAGCGTTGGAAATATTTATTTATTTATAATAATTTCAGGAATGGACCCCTTTCCCAAGAGTTGGAGCGATACCAAGTGGACTCAAAGGGCAGGTTCTTAGGTAGTGCGCGGCCTACTAGCACACCCTTTCTACGAGCCGCTGACGGGGTAAGTCAAATGCTACTTTGCCTAATACTACAGTAGAACGCCGATTATTCGAATCGCCAAAATTATTAGAATCGATCCTAAGCGTAATATAAAAAATTAAAACCAAGTCGTTTTTGTATTGTTTTATTCTAACAAGTTAGGACTCGCTGGAGTCCAGTTATAATTCAACTGTGATGGTTGAAAGTTAGAGGCAAGACATCGCCAACTTCTCTTGGGGATAAATTTAAAGAAATAGGTATAATGACTGCTGCTTCAAAATACATTTACAATTGTATTTTGTTTGTACGCCAGAACAGGGAAGATGCATATATAATATTTATGAAAATTTTATGATTAAAATGTTAAAAAAATATAAAAGAAATGCCACTGCAACGTTTTCATTTTACATAATGTTGTTTTTAACAATTATTACGAATTTAAAATACTTGAAACAGAACGTATTTTAAAACACCAATCAGCGTTTAGTGACGTCACTCCTGTTATGACAACTTCTTTGAGGTTATGGTTGTTAAAGTAAATATTATTTTATGGGAATATTAATTGCATTTTTTTACATTTAATAAAAATGGAAGTTGCGTTTATCAAAGCAGACTCCAGAAATTTACCAAGAGTTAGTGTTGACATGGTTATAACTTTTTTTTGTCCAAAGTGCAGAGTTTTTAAGTGTAGAAATGATAGGGACTAAATTACTACGGTATGTAAAAATCGTAGTTGTTAAACTTCGTATTTTATTCAGCGGCTTCTACAAATCTTACGGCGATAATGCAATCGGCTATGTCCAAATTAAAATAGATGGAGAATTATGTACAGTAAAAGGTCGAGTTCTCCGGAGCATAAAGTACGTAAAGAAGGTTATCGTGTTACAGTTATTTTAAATGAAACGCAAAGCTTGGTTCAGTCCTGCCAATGTGAAGATTGTGCCACACATTTTAAACTTTATCTAATTTTCGACGTCATTCTCCAACTGTAAAATTTAAAATATGTTATAGACAGGTTTTGTAAGTATTAGGTAGGTTACTAATGCGTTTTTACGTACAAGCAGATTAATTAAGCATATAACAAGTATATTCGCCGACTTACGTCAAAGTGATCTTCACAGCATCGAATAATGGTCTTTGGAGAATAATTGTCATTTCTCTTTGCAGCTTGAAACCACTTTTTTTCAGTTTTGGGTCAGAAGTTCCAGTCAAAAACAATTTATTTGGAAACTTTGTTGAAGTAGATTAGACAAAATATGAGTCAACACGCCTTTTTTTCGGAATATTAGTGGTATTGTTATGATCACATGATGTTGATGGATAGCCCATTTTAAATTTTTCAATAAAATATTCCGAAACTCGAAAAAATATGCAAAAGTATGAAAATTTAAAGCCAGCGACGAACAAGTACGACCAGTGACAGACAGGAGTGACGTCATCGCAACCATAGGTTCGTTTTCGCGCGAAAATTTAAATTGTCAATTTAAAACCGCATTTTTTCCGATAAATCACAATGTTTTAATTTTTTAATATATCTGTGGTTTATTCTACATGGAATTCTTTAAAATGAAAACAAAAATAAAAATATTGCATCTTCCCTATTATGCCTACATAATTTCAACTAGAAATAAACATAAACTTATATTGCCACTATTTAGACTCCAAAAGACTCTTGGTTCATTTGTGGGTTAAGGTATATGTTACTACAATAATATACCAGAAGAAATAATTCAGATATCTTTTAGTTTAGTTGAGTTTTACCGGGCGCTTTCCGCACCTAATCCTCATTATTGGACCATCGTGCGTGTCTCAAAACATTCCCGTTTACTCCAGAAAAGGAGAGACTGATGTTAAATTTAAGTTTAGAAAATCATGCCAGAATCGACTCCAATATCTTTGTAACTACAGGCTAACTTGGTGGAATAGTACTAAAATATAGATTTTGGAACGCAGTTCCTTTTCGGACGGTATGGACTTGGCTATGCGAAAAAGTGTAAGATTTAAATGTAAAGAAAATATAACTAGAAAAAAATCCACGCGGACCAGGCAACAGACGGGACTCGAACCCGCACCCTTCGCAATCCGGGAATAGGGAAGATGCAAATATAATATTTATGAAAATTTTATGATTAAAATGTTAAAAAAATATAAAAGAAAGGCTACTGCAACGTTTTTATTTTACGTAATGTTTTTTACGAAACGTCAATAAATAAATAAAGTTTTCGTGCATTAACCCGTAAAAACTAGTTTTATTTAATGAGTGATGTGCATGAAAACCTAAGAAACAAATATTACATAATATTGTTTTTTTAACAATAATTACGAATTAAAAATTATTTGAAAAAAACGTATTTTAAAACACCAATCAGCGTTTAGTGACGTCACTCCTGTTATGACAACTTATTTGAGGTTATGGTTGTAAAAAAGAATATTATTTTATGGGAAGATTAATTACGTTTTTGATAAAAATGGAAGTTGGGTATATTAAAGCAAACTCCAAGAGTTAGTGTTGACATGGTTGTAACTTTTTTTTTCCAAAGTGCAGAGTTTTCAAGTGTAGAAATGAAAGGGGACTAATTTATTACGGTATGTATAAATCATAGTTGTTAAACTTTGTATTTTATTCAGCGGCTTCTACACATGCAGCAATTATTGCAACAGTGATTTCAGCTCAAGAAGAGAATCTTACGACGATAACGCAATCGGCTATGTCCAAATTAAAAGAGATGGAGAATATGTACAGTAAAAAGTCGAGTTACTCCGGAGCATAAACAACGTAAAGAAGGTTATCGTGTTACAGTTATTTTAAATGAAACGCAAAGCTTGGTTCAGTCCTGCCAATGTGTAGAGTGTGCCACACATTTTAAACTTTATCCTATTTTCGACCTCATTCTCCAACTGTAAATTAAAAATATGTTATAGACAGGTTTTGTAAGTATTAGGTAGGTTAGGTACTAACGCGTTTTTGCGTACAAGGAGATTAATTAAGCATATAACAATTATATTCGCCGACTTACGTCAAAGTGATCTTCACAGCATCGAATAATGGTCTTTGGAGAATATTTGTCATTTCTTTACGCAGCTTGAAACCACTTTTTCGTCAGTTTTTAGATGGACCCATTGGCACAAAACATGAGTCAACGCGGCTTTTATCGGAATATTAGTGGTATTGTTATGATCACCTGATGTTGATGGATAGTCCATTTTAAATTTTTACAAAAAAATATCTCGAAAGTCGAAAAAATATGCAAAAGTATGAAAATTGAAAGCCAGCGACGAACAAGTACGACCAGTGACAGACAGGAGTGACGTCATCGGAACCATAGGTCCGTTTTCGCGCGAAAATTTAAACTGACAATTTAAAACCGCATTTTTTCCGATAAATTACAATGTTTTAATTTTTTAATATATCTGTGGTTTATTCTACATGGAATTTTTTAAAATGAAAACAAAAATAAAAATATTGCATCTTCCCTAATGCTACCGCGGCCCTCACGGACCGCGTCGAAATTCCTCTAGCCATTCTTATGCTGCAAGGCAGCGCCATCTCTTCGCATTATATGGCCGCGGTAGCATAATTGGTCAGTGTATTCGCCTGGATTGCGAAGGGTGCGGGTTCGAGTCCCGTCTGCTGCCTGGTCTGCGTGGAATTTTTTGTAGTTATAGTTTCTTTAGATTTAAACATCAAGCAGTTACATGCTTTAAAAAATAAAAATTGTAAGTGTAAGATTTTTCCATCACCGCCTTCAGTGGTTTTCGTAGCGTATTTTGGGTAATTGTGTAACTACTTACTTATATTTACGTTAAATTTTAACTTCGTTCCAAGCGATTGTTCCACGACACTCACGTTTGCATATTTTTAGTAAGTTGTACATTTGTCCATCAGATCGCGGTTAAACATGTGTTCTGGAGTGCCAGCAATCCGTGCTGCATACTAGCACTGTTGGCGTCAGGGACGCTTCTAACATATGAACTGACGCAAAGCGATATCAATGCTACCAGCGCTGTGGAACAAGCGGCTATAGAAGCAAACCTTTGCGGATCTACACTCGTAAGTTTTACCCAAGCGGCTCTAAAGATATCTTGAACATTTATCATAATACAGCTAGACTTTGCCCACGACTTTGTTTGCACTTCAGACTGAAAAGATTGCAACATCAATGCCAGCAGCGCTGTGGAACAAGCGGATATACAAGTAAACCTTTGCTGCCCTACATTCATAAGTTATACCCACGTGGCTCTAAAGACATATCGAACATTATTTTCTTTCACAGCTAGGCTGAGACTTTGCTACGCCTAGTGCAGACTATACAGGTAAAAATTACATAAAAATAGGAAGCTGTGAATTGGTATGTCCGAATTGGAATAAACTATACTAGATATGTGTAAATCCAATGTAGTAGTTAACTTGTTAAACTCTGAAATTTTAAAAACTATTGTTACAATTTGTAAACAATTTTGTATAAAAAAAATACTGATAAAAATCACTCGCGTCCAGATATCAGAAAGGACTCGAACCTGCGCCTTCCGCAAACCGGGCGAAGATTTATTTTCATTACCTACTTTATTAATTACTAGGCACGACCATTGGCTTATTCTTTTTACAGATGATACAAAATCAATACAGATGTTAGCCCATAATATGTTAGTACCTTCGATCCACAATTCTATATATAACGGGTGCATACAAAAAGTATTCGACCAATGTTGTCAAACATTCTTAGCGGAGGTTTGAATATTGTGATTTAATAAGCAAAAATGACATTACTCATTAGTAGAAAGCATAGAATACAGTGATTTTTACATGTACTTACTGAAAGTAAGATAAGACAAAAACATTGCTTGTTCGGTAGTTATTTTTGTAACTTTTGAATGCACATTGTGGCAGCTTGACGCGTTTACATTAGATGTGTATTAACTGAAATAATTGAAATAAGATCTCACGCCTCAAATGAGTATAATTATACCGAGACGAATTTTACGCGCTGATCTGTTATCTATAGTAAATTTTTGATCGAAGGTACCTATAGTACCTATAGTTACTTTGGGAACGTAGTCCTTTTCCATCACAACCAGGGGCGTATTTTGAAATCTGGCGCCTCTGGCTAATTGCCATAGAAATTTGATTGACTTTCAATCAAATCAAAATGTAGGATGTAGGAACTTTTAACTAATCTGTGATGTAGGCCAGCAACGACTGTCTTTTTAGGGCTTCTGCCGCCCTCGCAGCCTAACGCCCCGAGCCATGACCCTCTAGGCCTTGAATGTAATCCCGGGATTCTGGGATTACACTTAGCAAAACCCGAGATTAGTGAAGGTTTTAATGAAAAAAAAATTAAAATCTGACAAAAATTAGCTATTCAATAAAAAAAACATCGTTCTTTTCAGTATACATATATATATAACTAATAAAATCACTCTTGTAATTAGATTTAGAGTCAGGCTAACTTACCAAACGCAAAATCATTCAGTCTTTATATCAAAGGTTCTATTTGCAGAAGATGTGAGATCACTTCAAAGTTACATAAATTGAAAATTCTGGCACGTAACAAGTTTAAGTGATAAACTGATAATCAATCAACAAAATCGTCCGTTAACATACTAACTACTAACACAATTGGACACAAAATTCGTGTAAAATAATCGATAAAAAATTGTATGTGTCGTGAATACCGTCACTGAGCGTTTCTTATAATGCATTTTTTTAATGATTTCAATCCCAAAAATCCCGGGGTCTGTAAGCCTATTCGTTAACTGCTTTTTATAGATGGAAGTGATAATCACCAAGCTATTTAGTGATCCCTTACTGCTTTATTATAACGTCATCTTAGTTGCGATTGTATATGCCTTATGACCAAAGCTAGCTACTAGATATGCAATTTTCTCTTTAGTAACACACTGTAAATGTCAAAAAAGTTAGTAAATAAGCCGGCAGGTATTAATCCCGAAATCGTCGGGACTTAAAAATGATCAGGATCCCGGGAACCTCTACTCTAGGGTAAATACACCCCTGGTCACAACCGTCACTTGTTTCGTAGCATATTGTGTTTAGTTGTATACTGATACCTACTCATGTTTATTTTTAACTTCGTTCTAACCATATAGGTAGTTATTATGTTAAGTTTATGGTTCCAATATTTTTTCCACGGCGTTCATGTTTGCTTTTTTATATTCTCAGGCCCTGGTGACATCAGAGGGCGAAGTGGAAGTACACAGCATGCTCAACACTCACAATGAACAGCAGCTGCGCCTCTTCCAGAAATACGCAGCACTTTTATAGTGTCATACATACATCAGGATAAATAAATTGAACCTTGATACCAACAGATTGGTTTCATTTTTGTAAAACGATGGCTTTTTATACAGCCAGCAGCCTTTACCTTTTCCCATGAAGAACCCCCCATGCCTTTACCACTCACACATAAGCTTGTAATAGCTTTAGTTAAATAATTAAAGACAGGATGCAACTAACATTTCTTGGTTTCAGTGCATAATAAAATTAAAGTTATTTTATTTTTATCTCATTAAAAAACAATAATTATTGCTATATTTTTTTATTAAGTACTTTCACCAATTGGTTTTGAGCAATCATGATACCAAAAATTTTCTGCCAAATATACCATGGGGAAGTATTTATTACACTTTGTGCACCGCCAGTCTGGTTCTTCCTGATGATGTGTTTGGAAATGCTCTCGCACTGATGTTACTATAGGACTCTGGACCACAACAACCTTGCATAACAAACACTCAATTGTCAACCAGTTGCTTTGACACTTCTGGACACCTTTTTCGAATTTGGATACAACGAAATAAAACATAGGTGTCATTGTCTCTTCCAATTGCAAATCATACAGATCAGAACCACTGGGCTGATTAGAATTTACTTCTGCATACAAGTTCCTCACGTAAGGGTATTTACTCATCATACGACGAAACGAGCATTGCACGTTAACATTTTGAGTGTTCGCAAAATCGTGCTTGATAGTATTTCCAATCAACTCTACCAAAGTTTGATCTTCATGAGGTACTCTATAAATTTTGTCATCTAAAACTTTGCAAATATCGTTCAATGTGAATTGACTCACTGTCTTACTAGAAAGCTTCACTTGTAAAGCAGTGTTCAGTTCGTTGGGCTCTTCATTTGCGAAGTTCAGTTTCTTATTCACTAATTTGTGCTTGAAATTGTGAATAATCTCCCGTCGAAATATTACTGATCCCAAGTTGACATGTATTTGGATACCCGGCCAGTTTAAAATAGCTTGCAGTGATGCTGAGTTCCAAGTGATTTTGTTAGGAACACTTTGTAAATTAAATATTGTGTTGTTCAAATCTGGATTCGGTGTTTGGAAGAATAACTGGTTCAACTGCTGTCTCGTACACAGTATTTCTAAAACAATATCGCTGTCCATTTTCTCAGCAGTTTTCTCTTCTTTAAGAGATGTATCTTCAATCACAGTATTAATGTATGGTTTGGCCTCTTCCAGCATTCTGCTGAGATACAACTTGAGATTTTTGTGATTGCTATCTAAATTATTTTTTATAGTTTCCGAGTCAGTGTGTAATTTAAGTTTTTGCATTGTTACTTCAAACTCATCCCATAATGGCCAATCTTTTAAGAATTTCTTCATCAAGTTAAGGTATATATCTATCTCTAGGCTGTGCATCTTAGTTATATCCATTTTGAACTCTTTTTTAAGGATGTCTATGATTTGCACATTTGTTAAAACGGTGTTCTCTTTGCTGTCGTTTCCGATTAACCGTTGGAAGAGTGTCATTAAAGGTTTTTCTGGAAATAAACAATAGTACTTAAGTATTAATTACTGTTGTTATAATATTTTATTCTGTATTTATCATAGGATTTTGATTACTTAATAACATTAAATAGAGTATTGAATATTGATCAATTAAAAACTTTGAAATTGGTAACAGGATATGAACGATACGATTGAATTACTATGTATAGGAATCTAGTAAACTTTGTGTCTATAATTTTAAGAACAATATAATTATTACCACTTGCCGACTGTTCAAAATCTTGAACTGAATAACCATCAGTTGAGTCGATGCACATCACGTCATTAGAATCGTCAGTCATTTCTAAAAATTGTATAATTTCTTAAGAAATATATTATTTTCAGAATATCCTTATATTAGACAGAAAGGGAATACCAAGCTAAAAACAACAACAGCAACAACAACAGAGAGGTCAACAGGCAGGATTTGATATTTTTTTTTGTTGAAGTTCTCCCGTTTTAGGGAAGGCAAAGGGAACAATGCCCATACAGCCTGGTCTTTAATTAAATTAATCTTCTTTTTGTTTTTACATTAGAATGTCGGTGTGACGCATTCTAATGTTTCTTGGAGTGTTTGGCACGAAATGTATCGAGTTGGCTTTTTCGATAAGCTTCTGTGAGGTAGTCAACACTACAATAAAATTCTCACGTCCACTTGACCGGAATAGCGTATATTTTAACGATTCCACTAATTCTTTAGTTACGCAGACAGTTGTTACACAAAACCACACCAATTTTATTTCACAATATCCACTATGAACGAATTTAAGAATAATAAATTAAAATAAGACGCCAACCGCACTCGATGAAATCCCGCCAAAGTTAAAAGTTACAGTGCAATACAGCGCTACGTATACAACACAGTGAGTGCCAACACAGTGGGCGAATTCGGCCATCTGCTCTATTTACAAAGTAGTAAATTATTACAATCATGAAAAAAATAAAAAATAGTAAACAGTACATTGAAATGTGCACTGCAAATGTGTACTTGAACTGCCCAAAACCGCTCTATTTGGATTTTTCATACCTGCGCAATTTATAACTTGAAAACGGTAAGTAATACAAAAAAATTGTTTATACAAAAGTTGTTGGTAATTATGTACGGAACAACTTTTCCATTTAAAGTTTTCCATTAATATGATATTTTCAGGGTAAAAAAGTGAAAAAACACTTTTTTTGAGACTTTAGCGCCACCTACAATGCGCATTTTTTGTTGTACGAGATTGCAACAGTGATATAAATTGTAGTACTCAACGCCCTCTACAATTATGGTCGAAAAAAAAGTTTCTAAAATGCATACAAAACAAGAAAAATGCTTTTCAAAAAATTTTTGAGGGTTTTTTTGAGTTTTTCAAAAAACGCCTACGAGTTGAACATGCCCATCGCCAAGGTGGCTTACTGACGTCATTTGGCAACAGAAAAAACAAGACTTACCTGTACTAACATCTGCCAACCGGATAATAGGAGATGGAATGGATGAAATTGTTCTAGTATTTTCTTTAGATTTAAAACATCTCATTCTTACTTTAATCACGGTAATATTATATCTATACAGTATTGTGACTCCGCCCTGTCCTTGAAAATAAATGCCTATACACCGAACGGTGCGTTGGCACGCGGTAGGGCCGCCAGCCTACAGTATTTTATGTAGTTTTGTTTTTAACGCGAGTGTAGGTAGATTACTCGTTTGTCTCTTTTTTCATCCTAACCACTTATTTATATATTATTCCAGATATTTTGCCCGATGGAAAAACCGAAATACCTAAATATTAGAAACAAATAACGTACTAGTAGATAGGTATGTAAAAAATATTCTATAAAGGTAAGACACCTTTCCAATATTTCAGGTAATTTAAAAAATGATATCTCTGGGTCTCTTGTATTGAAGAGTTCAAGCAACCAAAAACAGCAATTGTGCTGTTGTACGATATTGATCGTCGTTTGTTCTTTTCCATACTAAATTATGTAGGTATCTACTTAATTAAATCAAATATTTACAATACAAAACGCATGTTTAAGCACGGCTAACTGCATAAAAAACAATTCAGACCGTTCGGTCGTCGTTGCGGCGCGGCGGCGCATTTACTAGTATATAATGTACTCTATGGGCGCATTCGCGACTGGGTGCACGCCGAGAGCACATCGAACTCGAGTGGCGTAGGTATGACTCGCTTTCCGACCGTTTGTATGAAGATAGAATACTGTATGATATTATTACCGTCCTTTAGTGTAATGAAATAAATACAAATAAAGGAATACGTAGTTTAATTTTTACATTAAGGATGGGAGGTTTTTAAATTTAACGAAGCGCGTTTTATTCATCTTGCTGTCGATGGCAGGGAATACGGATCGGAGTGCCTTCTTGGAAATTATGAAAGCCCTTCTCTGATTGTCTGGTTTCGCGGTATGTAGTGACGCCACAGTCGAAATTATGCTCACTGGAATGAATAAAGTATGTTCCATTTTATTTCCAACTATCTAATAGTAATATTAAATAACATCGCAAGCTTAAAAGTCCTTCTAAGGTTAGCAGGGTAACCGTGAATCATCAAATATAATAAGTTTAATAATTTCAATTTACAAACTTACAGTAAAAAAACAAAAGCCAGAGAAAAATTACACGTAGATGCGATGCCATGTTAAGTACTAATAATCTTCAAATGGACAAGGCAGTGCGAGACAGGGCAGTGTATGTATTTGTTCAAGGCCGTAGCTAGGAGGGCATTATGGCATTAAAATACCATTGTTCTACCTTAAAACAAAGCGACAGGCTTAATCACCCCTATTACCACTTATCTTAAATACAACTCTGGTTGCAGCCCTGTATTTGGTAGTAGGAGGAGCGAAATTATTAGTTTTATTACTTAATCTTAGGTAGTAAAGCAAATGTAGCGCACTGTAATTTTTATAGAATTTCATTGAAGTCAGTAGTTAGGTACCTGGTTTACTTTTATAAAAGCCGATTCATGCCGAGGCATTTGAAAATCATATAACAGCACTGAATGTGCAAATATAATACTAAAGTATTAATTACAGTTCTTATCGAAAGCAGCAACTACAGATTACCTATCTTAAAAAGGACAGCTTTTTTTTTAATATCCAACCTTGCAGCCTTTATGCCTTCTCCATTTGTAAATATTTTGTAAGTTCTTGTATCTTTATAATACTTATTGCTGATTGGCAGAACGAATACTAGTTGGTAATGTTAATAAGTAAATGAAAGAAATAATTGGAAATATTAATTACATCCAAAGAAAATATAATTAGAAAAAATTCTTCTAGCCATTCTTAAGCTGCAAGGCAGCGCCATCTCTTCGCATTATAGGTAACCCACAATACCAAATGAATACTTTTACAAGTATTAAACATTTGAAAGAAGAAAAGGCAATTATAGTCGATTCTGGCATGATTCTCTAAAGCTAAACTTAAATTCCAGAATTCCGCCAGAATCGACACCAGTGTGTACCGAATGACATCATTTGGTGCA